AATAATAATAAAAGTAATTTTTCAAAACATTTGGGATCCATTCCCAAATTGAGAACTAGATCTTTTATGTGTGTAAAAGCAGTTTTTCTTTTCACAAAAATCGATGATATTGTTCCTAAAAACAGATCTTTGTATTTCCGTCAGATGAAATATCTACAAGATGAATAACATTTAAGCAAAACTCACAAACATAGTTTTTCTCGTTTTCAAGCAAAGAAAATGTCTTATGTTTGAAAGAGAGAGAGCTATAGTGTATCTGGTGGGTTCTAAATTATTGAATGTCGCCATTTAGACTATGACTATGCCATAGATTACCTTTTTTTTTTCATAGTCATGTAAATTTTTCGTATTCGTTGCGTTATGAATGCGTTAGTCCGTACTGTTTAAATCAGTTCTTTGTCGAACTATTCAAGGGATTTTTGCCAATATGTTATTAAATAAAATAACCATGTTTAATTTAAGTTTTTTCTCTCCGTAATATTTCGTACGAAGACGTCAAAAAGTGACCTTCACATAAAAAGTAAAAACATTTTCAATCACAAATTATGATTTTTATTGCTCAATTCTAATGTAGTAAATGTTTTTATCAATTGTACGAGGAACTCGTTGGCGCAGTGGTTAGCGCACTCTGTCGGTGTTACGGTTGTTAAGCAACTTCCGCAAGGACCGAGGATGGATGGCCAGCGGCTTCGCCCGCGTGGCCCATATAAAGATTTCACCCCCATGTCGTCCCCCTAGAAGTGGAATTTCTAAAATTGCTTTATTAGTGCTTACTTACGTTACATAAAGAACCTACATGCAAACTTACAGGCTTCTAGGTTCAGCGGTTCGGGTTTTGCGTTGTTCTTTGGGTATGTCAGTCACCTTCCTCTTTCATTATAATAATTATACCTGGAGCATATTCCACACCGAACTCCGTCCTCAAAACCTGAGTCACAGATCGCGCACTTCATTTCCGTCGAATAAAGAAAGATTGTTTATTATGAGTAAAATGTTGTCGATATATGGAAAAGACAGAAACGATGGTACGCGTGCTAACTAGACGGGTGCTCACGGCTAACTGTTATTCAGTATTATTCTGATTAAAAATATTTCATTTGAAAATATGACTCCAATATATTACGTATTCAACCAATATTCAACATTGTATTCAATAATGTTCGATTATAATCTGTTACAAATGAAAGAAAAAGTTTAGATCATAGACACTACGAAAAAATAAAAAAAATCTCTGCTTACACCAATATTTTTTTTTAGTTTAACCAAGTTTACATTCAAATTTCTTGCTTTCACTATAGACCAAAATGCTTATTCTTAGACTCATAATGCTGTTTAATTCTCTTTCTAATCGACTCATTTCTGATGAGCCAAGCACAGTTTTCGTTATTTTGGCACGAAAAATTGATCTTTTGATACACAGTTAAAAAATACCGAACTAAACCGAATAGACGGTGATTTATTTCTTAATTTTTGAAACTCAAATAACTTTTTGTTATTACAGAAAGAAAATCGTAATGCACATCACAGACAATTTCATCGATTCATTGAATACTTAGAATAATAACCAAAACAGTTGATTATAAAATTTTAGTGACATCTACAATTAAATATTTTGATTTCGCGAACTATTTTTTGAATACTTCCCCCTTAGCTTACATGATGTCTCTTCCTTTTAATAAATGCAAAATACCATGCCTATGCCTAGGTGTCCTATGACCTCTATAAAAGAAATATTTTTGAAAATAGACTAACTCACGCGTTCTTGAAAATATACCTTGTAACTTATGCGTGATTAAAAAAATTAGAACAAATATTAAACTTAAAGGAAATTTATTTGAGTGGCTTACCCTCGGGAGGCTTGTCCCACTTCAAAATGTGCTAACAAAACTACTAACCATTACACGAAATTTTAACATTATATGTTGTCAATATATCTCTTTTCAAAGGTATATTTCACTTTTTAAAGCACAAAAATAATGTTAGACATTAAATTAAAAAATTGAGACACCAATAGTTTTTGTCCCCCGAAAAATTGCCTTTCAGATGCTTGCAGTTTACTAATTGTTTTCTATTAATCAAGAGATGCCATGCCATATTTTTGCTTTGGACCACCTTACGCTTTATTCGAGCCTTAACATGTGGAAAGGATGGTTTATGCACAAATTTTAACTCGTTCCCGAGGTAAGTTGTGTTTTTGTTCCCGTGTGCGATTAGTTCAGTGGTCAGTTTTAGATAATGAATAGAATAATGTTATTGTATGCTGTATATAATTGCGTCGATATAATGACATGTGAATATTAACTTTATTAATTTATTAGTTAAATTATAATTAAAATATTGGTGGCGTCATTGCTGTGATGTCGTGGGCCATCAGAATGACGAATGAGTCACATTAATCATTAAGACCTGTTTAATCAATAATTTTATCCTAAAATATAATTGTGTATAATAATCAATGTGTCTGCAATTTATATAATCTGAAAATAGAGAATAAGACAATAGTTTCGGAGTGAATTTCAACTAGTGAAACGTATGTTATTCCATTTACTTCAGTTGCTTATTAATTTCTACAATATATAAAAAGTCATATCAAAATTGTTACTTTGATGATAATAAATTTCATATATAGATTTATTTTTCAAATTTTTATTGGGATAAACAAATACTTATGAATTTAGGCTGATTGTACATGTATGTACTTTTTCATAATATTTAGCGAAATAGTTTCGTTGTTTTTGTACAAGGTTTATTATCTTTTTGAAAAAGTTTCATAGTACATTCTAATTGCGCAATTATTACTACATAACTATACGGTGAGAATATGAAGCCCAGCTAAACCTATTATATTTTTGTTTATATCACAACACTTTGTTATCGATGTTTAGTAAATATATAAAGAATATTTTAGAAAATTTATTTATTTAATTGAGTCATTTAATAATTCTAGTGACGTAAAATAAGAAATAAAAATGTTTTTCCGAAAGTACTGCGCTTTAAGGAGTGCTTCACAAATATTAGACTGACAGAATCGTAATCTATAATCTAACGTTTGGTTTGGGTGAACTGTATTCGTAAAAATTAAAATTCGCCACCGCAAAAAATGCCGCTCTCAAAATTTACCCTATTTGGGCAAAGTATTGGGGCTGGGACTATGTGTTTTATAGCGGTCATGGTCTGAAACAGTGATTTCTTGAACGTACCCGAGTCAGAGATCACATGATCGCGGGTGTAGCACCGGCGGAGTCGCGGAAATGAACATTCTAGATGCATGGGGGCGCGTACCTGCCGGCGCACAGTGGTTACTTACTAATCGTATTCTATGTAAATAAAACGTTTTTTTTTCTTTCAGGCTGACTTATTCCGGAGCTTTCCTAGCAAGATCCCAGATTCTCTTCTTCCCCCCCTAGCGAGTCTTTGAAAAAAAAAGACTAGATAGCTAACATCTTTAACAACTTACTACTTTTGATAATTGTTACATTTCACTTTCGTACAAAAATTAACTTCATTTGTTTACAATTCGAATAAAATTTTAAGTTATACTTGTAAATCAAATTTTGCCTAACTTGCACTATATGATAGTTTTTATCTCTATACTTTACTACAGTAGCTACGTCAGCGTCAGGTCAGTATGTTATAAAATAGTCGGTCACGATTACTTCAGTAATATTCAAAATTACTTTAAAATATTTCAAAGATAAATATAGCAAACAACGAATGAATCTAAAAGGTTTAATAAAACCATCGAAACGTACACAAGAAAACAATTTAACAGTTTTATGTTTTTGCTTCGTTAGATCTTTTTGGACAGCATGGATTTTTGCAAGTCGACAGTGCCGAATCTTCCTTCTTGGATGATTTCTTGCATGGCCAATAGATGTCCAGAAGTATTGGAGCACACGAAACACAACCGATCGCTAGTAGTGTTGTCATGACAGACATACAAACGATCATAGCTGTATTCTATTTCTTTAAACACTTGACTAATTTGTGGACCTCGAATTGTCTGTAGCAGACTGGAACACACGCGAGCAAGGTTGCAGAAGCGATCAACGCGTACAGGGAAAGGCAAATCATCTTTCAATAGCTTCCAAGTAACGAGCCACCTTGCCTTTTGCCTCGTTGGAAGAGATAAGCAGCTTTGCTGCCAGTTTTTCTAAAAAAAAAGAAAAAGCTTACTTTATTGAATAACAAGGAATCAGTGAATATTTTATTTTTAACTGTCATCTAGTAGACTAAGCAGTAAGTACAGATAACAGAACGCCAGGCTATACAAAACCATAAAATTTATTCACTTCATTTTAAATTTGAATTGTAGGTAGAGTTTAAAATCAATAGAAGGAATTTGATATATTGCGGTAACCTAACTTGCAGGCGTATATACATCAGGTTAAACAAACCGGCAAAATTTCAGAAATTGATTTTCAACCTTAGATACTATATTTCTGTTATCAACTGATAATTCCTATATTCACAATATTCAACTAGATTAATAGTTTTTGTGCGAAGAACTAACCTGTCGATTCCAATTACGGTTCCTTCTAATGGTATAATAGCTTTTGAGCTTCCTTTCTCAGAGGCGTGCCCCAACCCCAAAAAGGAAGAAAATTACACGGGATATTGACGACAGAACATAGTTTTAAAAGGAAGAAATTCTTACTTTTCAAACATCATATTTTTTACACAAAACCAAAACTAAAAATTTACTAGCTTTCAGATATGACACTGTCACTTTTTGAATAGACTTTTCTTCTAGAGTCGATTCTGGTTGCCAGTTGTTTATTTAGGCAGATACTTTGATGAAAGCGGATGATTTATTTCTAATTTAGAAATATCTGTCATCTTGACAGACTATAATGATCGTTATTTGTTTGTGACAAATACAGTTGAAAAATTTCATCCACCATTCTGTGAAAATAAAAGTAATGCAGTTGTTTTAGGTTTATTTTGGGCAATTAACATTGCCGATATAGATATAAAATAGGTTAACAAAGTGAGCATAGATGAAACTTTTGATTTGTGTGTTACTGACTTTGGGGGGATTGACAGTGTGGGGGTATCCAGAAAGAAGAGCGGCGGAGAAGTTACAGTTGCCACAATTGGAACAGTTGCAGCAGGATACCAAGGAGAATAAACCTCGGGAGGTACCAAGGGATTGTAAAGGAAAGTGTGCGACGAGTATAGCACAAAAGGCCGCAGCTGAGGCTAAAGCGGCCCAGGCCGCGCAAAACGCTGCTGGTGCTCAAGCAGCTCATATGGTATGTTACAATAATATTAGAAGAAGAACTTGCCATTCTCACTCTTAATGTATTGTTACCATTAAGAGTGGAGCGCATACTAATTGTCATAAAAGAATTGCAGTAATCACACTGAGTTGAGAAGTCGTCGTCGCCTCGATGCAGTTGTCGTTAGAAGTTGTTGCATATTTCGTTTTTTACTCATTTAGATAGACATTTTATAATCCATAAACGCTAGGTGCGTTGTTTGAAATAGGTTATAAAATATTAATTTTCTTTAGGTTCATTAAAAAATAAGCCTAGTCATTTATTTTCAGTGCACTATATGTATTATATTGCAAAGCTACCTTACCTTATGTTTTAATGTAATAATTATTGGCTTCGAGTGTAAGGTACTAGACGGAAATACTTATTTTCTCGTATTCGTGTACAATTTGAATCAATAAAAATCTATTAGTATATATTCGGAATTTCATTTTATAGCTATTATATTAATTTTAAAAGTATTCGACCATGTATTAAATAATTAGATAGTTTACTTCAAATTATTTTAATATACAAAAGTTATGATTAATTGCAAGTTTTAATACTTAAATTGTGTTCATTGTACGAGTACAGGTTAAAACCCAACTTGCTGAAAAAGCGCTTCAAGCAGCAAAGGCAGCCGAAGCAGCTCTAGCAGGCAAACAAGCCGTAGTAGAACAACTGCAACAAGAAGTAAAAGAAGCGGAGGCAGTAGTTGCTGAGAACACAGCAGCTGTACATCAACAACAGGGCACCGTTAACGCAGCTGTTCAAGCTGCCCAGCAGGCCACCGCACAGGTGATATAATTCGAGTTTGAATTCTAAAATATTTGAGAAACTAATGTTCATCGTTGAATCAAATAACGTTATTTACAATTAAACGTTTCCGTTTCATAAAATTAAACTTTGTCTTCAACAATTCCTACCGAGGTCGAGTGAAACTAAGTTTTACGAAGTTTATATTTAAGTTCGGCTTCTGGGTGCGGTTACTACCACATGAGTTCTCATACAATATTTTCCTCGCCTATTTTATGTTTACGATTGGGTAGTAGTTGTTGAAGAGCCTGGTTTTGGGAAGTATACTTCGTAAAACTTTGTTTTATCTCTTTTAGGAATATGTACTGAAAATTTGAAGAAGAGGTCTTTGAAGAATAACAAATAAATTAAAAATATTTGAAGATGATTTGTGTGCCATTGTACACAGTAATATTAGCAGCAGGAATATTATCGTGTGTCCCAGTTTGTATCAAAGCTTTAACAGGAAAGACGACGTGTTTTTGCACTGGGAGCAAAAAAAAATGGGATTCATGGTGCAAGAAAAAAAAGAATGGTGGATAAAGTGGCATAAAATTCAAGAGATACTTCCATACAAAAACATGCAAAATTATTATATAAAATAATAGTTAAAATAAAAACAAGTCACCTTCTGTATAGTAATCTTTTCCCTTCCACTATCCAGTGGGGTAGTTTTTAATATAATCAATACTGATAGATTCAAATAATAAAAGGTAAAATTATGTAGATATCTAAATTTATCATTAGTTTAACACATTCCATAATTAAATATAAATTTACAGCACAAGCTAATGACGCAAGCGAATGCACTTGCAGCTCAGTTGGAGAAATCGGCTCATTGCGTTCTAGAAAAAACTAAAATTGGGCTACAAGAGAAATGTCACAATTTAGCAGAAGCAAGAGCGAGGTTGGCACATCTCCAGCATAAGCTACAATGCGCTTGTGCTGAATGTTCTGCAACGAAAACAGCAGCCCACGCCGCTTGCGAAGCAGCACGAGCGGCTTGCGGTAATGCTAGACGCAAAAAACATATCGCTGAAATAGAAAACATGTCCAAAGACCCCAAAAGAAGACGATGACTCATCTATATTATTAAGTAGCTCTGATGGCTTTTTGGTAAGAGTTTCCAATAGAATTTACTGAATTCTCATAACTGAACAGTTTTTCTGATACTACAAACTAGTGGACATTTTAACTTGTATTTTAGATTAAATTCGTTTACTTAGTTTTTATAATATCATACGTTAAGATGTGAGCTTAAGCTTTTTTATACAAATTTGTATAAGCTTTTGATAATATAGCGTTGAAATAATTAACAATTTTTTTATTTACCTCCAAAGTTTTGTCAACAGCCCCTTAAGCTATATAAAACTGAGTGTGTTGATAGTATTTAAAGTAGAAATTTGTTATTTTATAATAACATGATAGAAAGACTAGGAATTCGTGAAATGTTAATTATAATATAATTGATTTTCTTTCCACCGAAGTTGTACAGTAGGTTTTTATATTATTTTTATTCTTAACATGAACTTGTAACAGTTTAAATGACTTAAAAAGCTGTAAGTAAGTAACTGCCGTTGGTGTGAGCTTGAGCAACTTTATCAAAGACCAGTCTAATTTGTGCAAAGAATAGACTACTTGACCATTTCTTTATAAATAAATAGCCCATTAATATCTAAGAAATAATGTAGAAGTTACAATACGGTTTGCTATGTTTGTGGAACTGCTGCTAGTCGGCCGAACACTCCCTACAAATTCAAGCCATTAAATGGCGTCACACAGTGCAACGTTAGCAAAAAAGGTACGGTTGTCTGGGCAATCTTTATTTGTTCGAAGAGTGTGTAAATGAAAGTTGTTACGTTTAATGTAACTAATTTATATATGTTTTTTATCAAATTGAAATATATTTTCTCCATTTTTTTTCAAGTTTTCAAAGCGTAACCTTTTCCAAATGAGTGCCATAAAATTAATTTAGTAAAAAAAATATTATTTAAAATGGTTTATATTTTTCGAACATACGTATTTTCATTTTTAAGACAGAAACTTACTACGATTACTCCGAAGTCTGGCAGAAATTGAATTAAGTTCGACTTTCAACCGAGATTAATTCCATGTAGAATAGTTTAACCAATATTTAGGTGAAAGAAGTCTATTTTCTCTAACATTTTTAAAAATTTTGTCTTATATGAGTCATCAGTTACAGGCTATTCGAACTTGGATAAAAATGTACTTGTTCATGCGCCAAAGCAGTACCATGATCGCCATGAAACCAATAATGTCGAATTGAACGTAGCAGGAAATTTGGCAATTCTGAATATTATATGGCAAAGCCTACTGGTTAAAACACCTAATAAATGTTTACCTTTTAATTCAATTGCACGGCTGAATCAGCTGAGCTACGTTTTAAGGCGAGGTTATACAAATTTTATTCTAAGGCATTAATTTTATTAAATGCTTATGAAAATTAAACATACGATCAATTGCTTGCTAAAACAGAAATATAAATTTCTGGACCGATTTTAGTTTCTTTCTGTGATTTATAATGTTTGAAATCAAGCGAGCGCGTCTTTTCTCTCGAATGTAAGCGGAGGTACAAGAGAGCCTTATTTTGTCACTAACTTTTATAAACAAAGCGAAACTTGCACCGTCGTGGCGGGAAAATTTATTATATCAGCTGTCCTATAGAGAAAATAAATTATAACGATTAACCTAGAAAACTAGACACTGTCCAATTGTATGATTGTTTTAACCAGTTAGCTAAGATTAAGTACCCAAAAAGTATTGAAATATAAAAAAGTAGATAATAATTAAATTTTATTTTTCCGATTTTATTTTCTTTTAACTTATTTACAGGTGAATATTTTATCTGTACTTTTAACAATAGTTGCTCAATATGTATAACGTACAGATTATTATAAACAATAAATACTAAAACCTATTTTGAATAATCATTAAAGAAAAAGTATATGATATGATAAATATATGATACAGCATTTATAATCTGTTGCTTTGTACATTCTTTAAATGTAAAGGTTATAAATAACATTAATAGCAGAATAATGCTTAATAATACATTAATTCAAATGACCTACTACACGTAGGAGAAGATTATTTAGATAAGCAACCATACAAAGGAATAGTCGCTTTTAAATGCAATGTTTCTGAATGTCATTAATTCTCATTGAATTTTATTATGTGTTGTGTTGTTATTGCTAAACTTATCTACTACTGAATGCATCGTTCAAGTTCTGTGGACTGAAAGCCATGTTGCTATTTATGTAATTAACATACGGAGAAATTGTGGCAGATGTTGTTGGTGTATGGTAATCGAAAATTTTCGCAGGAGCGAATTCATCAGTTCCGGTAAACATCGGTGCACTTGGTAAGAACTTGGGCACATATCTAGCTGGTGGTTCAGCATATTGACCTCCTACTAACATTTCCTCATCGTTATCATCTTCGTCGACCTTAATTTTTTCAGGTCTAAGTCTTGGGGATTTCCAGTATTTATTCACCTTCTTGTTAGAATCTATAAAGTAATGGGGTTTTTTCTTCCTGTTGTTCAAATACTCAGGCTCTTTGTATGTCTGCAAACTATATATATTTGTATGGTCAATATTGTCATCCTCTTGATTTACTTCTGCGTCGAAGAGCTCGTCAGGTTTTATGAATATTGGTCGCTTCTTAGAATATGCAAAGGTGTTGTCTACGTTTGGCTCTTGTTGGAAATCTTGCCAAGGACGATATTCTTGTGCTAAGTTTGAGAAATCACTGTGTTCGTAATGGTTCTGGGCTTCGTAATTCGGTGCAGCCGGATATGGCTCGTTAGTTGTTTTTAGTGGTGCACCGTATGAATCAACTGGTGGCTCTGCGTAATTTTGATTCTGAGGTTGATAATAAGGTTCTGCATCTACTGGTGGCTCGGCAAATCCAGCTGGTTCCGTGTTATATGGAGGTGGGGCTTTTTTCGGTGGTCCATATACTGGTTTCTTCGATGGGCGTTTTGGTGGACCATATCTAGGTTTGGGAGATCGGTGCTTTGAAGATTGTCTATGTTTGTAATTAAAATGTTTTCTGTATTTTTTCGCTGGTTTTCTAGTTTTTGGTGATGGCGGTCCATATTTGGGTCTATAAGATTCATATTTGGTTTTTGGAGGCCCGTATTTCTGTCGTGAGACCCGTCTAAAGATAACTTTTGGGTACTGACTGTATACAGTTTCAACGGGAAAATTATCTATGATTAATGATGCTTCTCTTTTATTTATTTTTTTCGCTTCGCGTTTTGTAACATCTTGTTTTTGTCTGCCTTCTTCGCCTTTGATAAGTGCTGGTGTTACTATTATCTGCAAAAGATAATAAGTTTCATTAATATTTTGATGTTTCATTTTCATATAATGGCAGTTTTTAAAATATCATATAATGGCAGTTAATAAAAATAACTTGCGAAGTTATTTTTAATGAAGCTTTATTTAAACAAGTGGTATCTTTTGGTTTCGGTTGGAAAACTGGCCATAACCTTTTTTTACTCAGAATCTATGTTAATCGTAATTTAAATCATAGAATTACTAGAACACCGGTCGCGTGTCAGATATAATTGCAATTGCTTTGAGAGAAACTATAAATAATCTGCGTTTTTATTTAATATATATTTTTGATACGTTTTAGCTTGTAGATTTAGAAGAATTCCTGAACCAATAACGCTAACAATAATTTGATTGTGTAGAAATAAGCGCAAATTTTTAAGCGACTTCAAAATCGAAATGGAGGAGGTTATATGTTTAACCATATGAAATACTAAGTACAACTTTCCTTGATGAACTAGTCGTTTTGTTAATATCAATATTTTCTGCTATAGGCTGTTATTAAGGTTAACTTCAAGTATAGAGGAGCTCGACAGCGTAATGGTTAGCTCGTTTGATCTACGTTTGTAAAACAACTCTTAGCCTGTGTGTAATACCAACTTTCAGTATGGAGATCAAACATTAAAACATCATTGGAAACTCATATTTTTATAAAAACACGGACAATAAATATTTAAAAAATATTTGAAAAAAAATCAATAATATTAACAATGAAATACGACTACAATCGATATTACTATATTGCGTTAAGTATATTTTGTTTTGAATCCAATGAAAATTTCCATGGGAATATTGCATCTTATAATTATTTATGAAGAAAAAATATAACACGAAATATATGCAGCAGACTTTTGAGTTAAACACATTTTCTACTAAATATCATTAAAATCCACTCAGATATACTTTAAATAAAGTTTTATCATATTAAACTACAAAAAAAAGTTTAATAAAATTACTATTTTTACAATTTTCATTGTCGCTATGATAAATAAAACCAAAATTTGTGAAAAAAGTCCTGTTAGGTAATTTTGCGTAAGGAAATGAAGGTTTTGTGACTTGATGTTTTTTTATACCTTCCGTAGCTGAAATGATATGGATTATTAAATACAGTCTCTCGTAATTGGCTCACAAACTTGTTTAAAAATATTCCAGACTTATATCGAATTATTTCCGTTCCTCGTATTTGTATCAGGCCATCTACAAAGGTTGTCATAGATTGGATGGCCGTTAAGCCCTCAAGGGCTTGGCTTGGAAGGATCATTGACATTTTTGAAATCAACCAAGATGTGTATCTATTTCATATTAGGGTTTGCCAGTTAGTCAGAACAATAGTTAAAAATGATTTATCAGGGTTTTGGCATGACTTTTATATGGATGAAAAAAGGGAGGAGTCTTTACTACTTCTGAAAATACTTTGACTGATTTTCGCTAAAATCTAAACTTGATTAAATATTCATTAAGATTTTTTTAAAGATATTATTATAAATTATAGATATAATGAAAGCGGAAGGAAGAACTTCTCAGGAAATTACTGTTAGTGGAATACAACCGCAGGTTTGTTGATAGCTGGTACGGTACACAAAGCAACACATTAGATTAGTGAAAATGTTGGATTCAAACAATAGATTATGAACTCAACTATTAACGCATTAGGCGTATATTGTCTTGTGGAAATTTGAAACTTTTATATAAGATGACGTGCAAAGATTACACTTCCAAGTTCCACGAGAAACCAAAGTTTTAATACTTGTTCTTACTGATTACTATTGGCAGGTGATACATTTTTTAACAGATATTTTATATATCAGTTTTCCTTGCCTCTTTCGACGTAAATTATGAAGATTAATGTAGCCTCAAAAACTTTCAATTCAATTTGATAGTCTTCATAGCAAAATGTCCGTAGGTATAAAATAGTTCTGACCAGTTCCTGTAGTACTAGCAAATAAGGTCAAAAGTATTAATACCTAAGTATAACAATCTTCACGGTCAGTGAGCACGCGAGAGCATTTCCAAGATCAGATTTCAAGATGACCTGACGTATCATATGGATGATCTTGATCAAGTATCAATCAACAGTACCATTAGTACCCTTTTTCTCATAATGAAAATGCATTAGGCACTATCACTGACTCAGAAAGAGACCCAGAAAAGAGACAAGTTTAATATTTATGTTTTAGATATTAATATCATAAAGTGGAAAGATATGATTGTTTGTTTATATTGAATAGACTCCGAAACTAACGGACTGATTAAAAAAATATATATATTATATACATCTTAAGCACCTAGGCTTTTTGTGGGCAAAGTAGCCGGAAAACCACTAGTCTTTAAGGAGAGAATTGTTATTGAACCACAAAAAGAATTTTAATTACATAAGGTCGTGTATCTTTTACCCGAATAGACAGCCAACCACATTTTCCTTGTGATAAGTAACGAGAGGTTGCCGCTTTCTTTCTGCACCTTCATACAAAGTGATAATTCGATTGTACCGATGAAAGCAATCACTAATTGCATGCCAACTAACACTTTCATCGGTCAGGTGTAATAACCAGTGATTAATGTTTGCACAAGTGTATTGTCGGTTCTATTGTTTGTGTATATAACTGCATATAAGGTTAATGTATATTTGGTACTTTGAACTTATGAACATTAAAGTTTATATTCAGTTGGAAAAATAGAGTATTAAGCGACCGGTTATGCTGTAAAGCTGAGTTTCCACGAAGTTACTCATATACACACTCATGACATGACATCTGTCAAAATAAATTAAGTTAGTTTATACAAATATCATTGGACATATTTTTCCCGACGACCAGACAGTCGAGGCTGCAAAAGGAATGTAGTAGTATACAAAATTGTCGTTACCATAAATTTTTTTCTGACACTAGTTTTATAAGCGAGTACCGTTATTTTGGAAATGACATAGCAATTTTTAGAGAAAGTATAAAAAAAAAATGTTGACAGTTAAATCAGAACTCAGGTCATGGTGTCAAACACGTCACATATGTAATCATATCATCAGGTCAAATATTTAGGACAAAATGTTTAAAGAAATTGACACAGGCTTTTACATAATAGGCGTTTTCCTACTACTTGTGGAAGTTTGTCATTAGTCTGTGTTTTTTATATTGAACCCTTGATGCACAAGTCCTATTTGCTTTTGGCCGGTTTCTAATTAGAATCTTGAAAACCAGTTTTGAGTAAAAATAAAGTATCGTGATAGGTACTTATCTCTTTATTTATAGTCGAAAGTTTTTGAACTAAGTAACATTTTCATATATAAAAAAATATTTTTGTGAAAGTAACTATTCTGAAAATTGAATTTAAGTTTCGATTTAAGTAAAATGAACATTGTTTTTTTGAAATTAACAGCTCTTTGCAGTTCATAGTCAGCAAAAATTTAATGGTTTTAGAAGAACGACGAGGTTTATCAGTAACTTACTAGCAATAATTTGATTTGGGGAAAAGTTACTTAGCATTTTAAATGAAAACTATTTTCAAAAGCTATTTATCAATTAAGTATAGATTCCGCTACTGTCACTAAAAGTGTCCTCTCTTAATGATAGCCCGAAAGACAGAATTATTGCTGAAGAGACCGGAACTGATGAAGATTTGTTCAAGTTCAAGTCTATAATTATGGCGGATACGTTAACACTTCCCAGTTAAACTCTCTCATTAAGTTGCTTAAGATATGAATCGTCTAGCGTTGTAGTGACAGAATACTCTTTTTGACTTGGCTTCGCAAATGTACGCAATGTCAGCAGAGAGCGCTGGTAATTTAAGTTACTCCTAAAACTGCTAAGTAGCTCTTATATAACTAATATTCAAATTAGAATGCAAGTTCACCATCAATTATGCCTTTTATACTACAAACAATAAACCCACCTTTAACGCGTTACACTCTTGAATGAAAATGCCAAGCGAAAGTACAATCATGTGTATGTGACAGTTAGACGGTTAGATGACATGACATTACGTGACTAAGGCGTGCTATAAAAGTTATATTAGTACGTTCGCACTGTGTAATGATTGCGTTACTATGTTTTGTGATATTACTTTAGGAAAAAGCACTTAATTTTTGAAATAACGCTGTGAGAAAATAGGCAAATTTACTGAAAACAAAAGATGATGATATTTCAGTTTATAGTCACGTGGGAAGTGTGCGCAGCGGGCAAGTCCGTTTTGTTAGTAATTTGAAAAATTAATATAAACACGGTTATGCCAACACTATCCCTCCTGTTTGAACACAGAACGTGATGCCAATTTGTCTTTAATAATTTACCAATCAGTCTCATGTTCGCATAATTTATTTTAAAGTTTTTTTTTTTATTTTCATAACTCACGGCACGGCAAATTTTCGAGATGAGCCCAATGTTTTTCTTCTTAAGTTTACATTTTAGATTATCTAAGATTTAATTTTATTCTAGGAGGAGACATTTTCTAATATATGCTAGAAGAAGACATTTTTAAAGAATTTTTTTGTTCATTCTCAAACTATGAATGAATAAAAAAATTTCCTGTATACAAAATCTCTGTATTCTTACTTCACTCTACCAATTATCATTTAAAATTTTATTATGATGTACTGTTAAGTTCTAAAAACAACAGATAATAAAACCATGCGTTGTTACAGAGCGACATGGCCTTATTTATCCAGGTTTAGTCATAGCTTCATTCGGATACCTGATAGCTATATGAAGGCAAAACCATGTATAAAAATTGATTATAAAAGAAGATAAACATATTATTTTTCTATTTTTTAGGTATTGCTTTTTTTGTTTTTTTTTTTAAGTTAGACAGTCGACCCTTTATTTGCAAACTGCTTAATTAATGAATAGTAAGCAGCTAAAGCATTTGTATTATTAATATCTGAAAGGACGAAAGTACCACAACGGCCTTGTATGGATAAGGTTAAACAATTTTCAGGGAGTCGTACTCAGGACAACCAGAGATGATAACACCTTAATACGCATACGCAGGTTGCGTATGAAAATTAATAAATATAAAAAAGTGATTGCAATGTCTTTAACAAGATTCAATCTAACTTATAGTTACCATTGAAAGGGTATTTTTTGTAAGTTGAACCTGTCGTGCCTGTCATGATACTTCGCTATCAGGAAATAGGAGT